AATCAAGAAGCGGAATTGTGGTAGCGTCCGACACAGGGCCTGAGATCACCTATTGGGTGAGGCTGGGTTGAGGTCTGGGAATGCTGCTGAGGGTCTAGGTGAGGCAAAGGAAGGGCCAGAGGGGTGGGAGATGTTGGACAGACAGAATGTCAACCTGACAGAGAGATGAGGGGGTGACATGTTTGAAGGGCAAGGGGGAGATTTTAAATCTATTCTAATTCTAGGCCTGGCTGCATACATTTGGACAAGTACATAGGACTTTGGCTACTCAGGGAGACTTTCCCTCATTTTTAGCTTTACTCTCTTTTCATTCTGGACTTTGCCTCTATTATGGAATTTACCTGTACTTCAAAGATCATGCTATAAAATGATTTAAACCCAGAATCAAATTTGCTTTCAATCTCCCCCTCTAAGTGTAGGAGCCTTAGGACCCAGTGAGACCACAGAAGCCCAGCCCATCTCCCTGTGGGCACCCCTAGCTGGCCAAACAGGCTAAGCTGCACAGCTGGAGGCCTCACATCTGGGGATTTTGGGGGTGTCTGGACTTGGGCCCACTTGGTGCTATCGTTTAGGGGCTCCTGAGAAGCAAGGTGGGGAAGTAAGAAACAAAGGGGCTCCTGTGGCCATGACAGAGGACAGACCAAGGCAGTTGCTGGTCCCACAGAGAACACTTTTCTGCTGTCTGCTAGGCTAACTGGGAGCCATGAGAGACTCAAGGTTATGCTCTCGCTGCCCAGGCTAATCTACTAGCTGGTCACACAATAAAACAATTCCACTTGTTTTCAAGACATTGTTGTTTCTAAAAGTTCAAACCTCCTTTGGGGCATTATCTCTTTATCCTGAGTGTATGCATGTGCATCACGGATCGTGTTCTTCTGTAACCCAAGGAGAATCCAATCAGAGAGATTGCGTTTAGTCAGGCCAGGTAGGGTCTGGAGGGTCCAATATGTCTCCCAGGTGAGGGACAGTTGGAGCACTGGGTGGAAAATACCACATAAGGCAGGAAGGAGGGCTGGAGAATGTCATTCCTGTGGTGAGGATGATGAGGTATGTAAAACAACAGATTTGTGGTTTTCCTGAATGTACTAATCAGATCAAATATGAATAGCTGAATCATTTATTTCCCTTAATGGATAGTGACTTCAAAGTTGTATAGAAAGCGTATGGGCATGGTGAGTTGTTATTTGGGCCTTGAAGGATCTTCAATCTTTAATAGTCCTCACAGCTCAGCTTTGTAACTTGTTGAACTAAGGCTCTTTGCTTGGGACCCTGTTAATCAATCCATGGGCTATCTTTAGCCCCTGGTTCTTTTCTTCATCCTGTTTTGCCTGAATTTTCCCTGCACCAGTCTAAATACCAGCACTCTGTTGCCTGGCTGTGGTGGCTCAGTGATTTGAGCGTTGTCCCATAGACCAAGAGGTCCCCGGTTCAATTCCCAGTCAAGGTACATGCCCGGGTTGCAGGCTCAATCCCCAACAGGGAGCAAGCTGGAGGCGGCCGATTAATGATTGTCTCACATTGTTGTTTCTATCTCTCCCTTCATCTTGGAAATCAATAAAAAATATATATTTTTTAAAAACAGCGAACTTGAAAATATTCGATAAACTAGTCTTATTTTCAGCACCACAGGAGGGTTATGACTATTAACCAAGTCCTCAATGTGAAAGGGCTGTTAGCAATTTCATTTGTTTTAATCTGCATGTTGCTGTGAAGAAAACTCGTAATCTCTGAATAAAACATTTAATTCGGGACAAATACCACTGGTCCTGATACTCTTCACTTGAGAAGGTGCAATTTCTGTGGCAATTTACCCAAATCCTTTTGACTGATTTCTCTATTGTAATTTCAGGAAAATGGAATGTCAGAGAGACACTTGTCATTATGGTAGCTATTTAGAGAACTGTAAATCTGAAGACCTATTACTCAGGTACATATCTTGTTAGAGAACAGTGATTTAAGTAGTTTAAAAATATACCACATCTTAACCAAAAAAGGTGAAAAAGAGAAAAAATTGACACTAGCTTACAACTCACTAATAGTACCAGACTTCAGTATAGCTAAACAAAAATTATCATGAACTGAAATAGACAATATAAATAACTCCTAAAGCATAACTTGCCAAAGTTTGGATGGTTTCTCAAAAGTGTAATATAAAATCTTAATTTTTGAAGGCTCACTTTTTAATTAGGGAAAAGTTTTTGAGGAGCATTTTAAGGGTAAATATTATTTTGTGATAAGTTAATTCAGATGCACAGACTTCTGCCACATTTTTATTGCAGCATGAACTCTAGATTTTCTGAAGTCACTAAATTTCTCGTTGCAGCACAGGAAAAAGGAGATAAAGTAGGAGAGGGATCAGTATCAAATTCAGCCCTAAGCAGCAACATGTTTGAGATGCAATCATAAGACCAAGTATTTCACCCAGGCCATGGAAAACGCAGTGGATCATCAGAAAGCAAAGAGTAAAACGCCGCAAGCAGAAGGAGTAAGAAGCTGCCAGGCCTGGAACAAGGTCTTACTGACACATACCATGTTATTAAGCTCACTCCTTTAGGGAAAAAAAGTCTGTTGTTCACATTGAGATAACATTTATACTTTTGAGAATGACAAAGTTGCCATGGAGATACATTTTTTCAAAAATTTTTTCATTTTCTGAAATTTTACTGATAAGCTAAAAAAGAGAATCACTTGTTTCAATTTTGTCATTTTTCCAGCCTTATGTTCTGTAATATTAACTTGCTTGAGAGTAAAGTATCAACAATTAATGGAAGAGCCTTGGCAATAGTTTTTCCTATGCTTGCCAACCTTCACTATTTTTGAAATTGTGGATTTAGAATAAAATTACAAATGTCCTTATTAGTAAGATAACATTTGGAGTTCTTGAAAAGTTGGTTGAAAGAACTGAATGAATATTGGTACTCTTCTAGTTCAAGAATTATAGAAAATGCTTTTATTCATTCACATCATTTGGGCACTTGCTTCTTTCATATATATATATATATATATATATATATATATATATATATATATATATATATATAGTTAATCCTCACCCAAGGATATTTTTCCCATTGATTTTTTTTGACATTTGAAGATTTTAAAAAATATATACTTTTATTGATTTCAGATAGGAAAGGAGAGGGAGAGAGATAAAAACATCCATGATGAGAGAGAATCATGGATCGGCTGCCTCTTGCACACCCTCTACTGGGGATCAAGCCCACAACCGGGCATGTGCCCTTGACCAAGATCGAACCCGGGACCCTTCAGTCCACAGGCTGACGCTCTACCTGCTGAGCCAAATGGGTTAGGGCTTTCCCATTGATTTTTAAAGAGAGTGGGAGGGAGGAAGAGGGAGAGAAAGAGAGAGGGAGGAAGAAAGAAACATAGATGTGAGACACATTGATTGATTGCCTCCTGCACACACTCCAACAGGGGCTGGGGTTCCAACCTGCAACCCAGGTACCTGCCCTTGACTGGGAATTGAACCTGAGACCCTTGGGTGTGCAGACCAAGGCTTTAATTACTGAGCCACACCAACCAGGGTCAAACATGCATATTTTAAAATGTAGTACCCACATTTATTAATGTTTTAGAACCCTGACAAACTAAGAATCCTCTCCATTTGCTCTCTAGTCTGCCTCTCTTGATAGGTAAACAATATATCAGTGTATCTGCTAATAAATACAGTTCACATGACTTAATCCTTTGGATGTAAACATTGCAAAACAATAGTATTTAGCAGACTATCTTCTAGGCCATAAGAACATTATAATAGCCAACATCTTGCTTTAGCAACTGGATTAAAATTCATGTCATTGAACAAAGTATTTTAGATGCTGGATTATGTATAAACCAAAGATAGACCTGTCCTCTTCCGGTGTCAAATCCAATCAGTGGTAGTTTAACACACTTCAGATGAGAACACCCACACATATACTGTGAAATATAAGGAGAATAAACTGCACAATACTTGGGACTTCAAAGCCTTCATCCCTAAATCCACCCCCGCCCCCTGAATTACTTGAGCCTCCTGAGGACAAGTTTGAGAAGCACTAATCTAAAAAGACTGTAAGTTCTCTTCACAGTCAATATTAGATGACAGGCTTTGAAGTGCAGTTTTCTACTGGAATTAAGATAGACACTCTAAGGCCATAGGCCTTGGCCTGTGTGCTCAGCGGTTAGAGCGCCATCCCGAGCACCGAAGGGTTGTGGGTTTGGTTCCTGTTCCAGTCAGGGCACATACCCATGTGTGCATAAGGTAGCCAATTGATATTTCTCTCTCTCTCTCTCTCTCTCTCTCTCTCCCTTCCTCCCTCTAGAATCAATGAAAAAAACATATCCTCCGGTGAGGATTAAAAAATAATTAAATTAAGGCCATAAAGGATGACATGTAAATATCAACGTGTCATTTGCCACTATAAATAAAATAACACAACTTCACAACTAGATTGGCACTGATACATTCTCTTCCCATCAAAAGTAGCTTCAAATCTTCCATGGCATCTTTCAGGTAAATCTACAAAAATTTTCTACCTTTATATTTCCTTTATGTCAAGGGAAATAGAAGCAGTGATTTGATTTTCCTGTAAATTAGTGACCAAGCAAAGAACTACTTATATTTTAACCCTTCCTTTTTTTTTTTCTCTTAAGCCAGAACCACATTATTTACAAAAAGTCATCACAGTATAAATGGTCACATTTGGCAAATGTATTAATTGAAGTCATTTCCTTTGAATAAATTTTCCAAAAACTTATATCATAAGGTGTATAGTTTTTATCAAAATAAAAACTTTACATCAAAATAGAAACTTTAAAATGGAGTGTCTTTTCATTTTCTATTAGGAAAATTGTTAGCATGTTTTTATGATCAGAAGTAAAATAATGAAAATAGGCACAATCATTTCATCATGTGACTTTCAGAAGACAAGTTTGAAAAATTAAGGCAACAATGTAAGTCACATTATGAGTAGGTCGAAGAATTCACAGAAAAAAAGGGAGAATTCTTACTTCTGTTTAATCACTGAATTTGAGTTTTTACAAATTCTTAGAACAAGTCAGGTAACTAAGGTTTTGGGGAAACAGTGCTTACTTATACATGAACTATTACATGCTCCATTTTCTATAAATAACTCTATTGGCTAGATTAACAAATACTGTCACAGAAACAAAAAAAAATTTAAAGCCATAGATCACTGCATTTATATTTACAAAAGCCATAAACAAACATGCATTTCTTCTTTACTAGGACTTAAATAGGTGTTTGAACATTAAGGCAGTGATGATTCTAAAACAATGAAATGTTAATTAAGGCTTATGCTTGTTTTGAAATTCATATTCATAGGCAACTGTGACCAAAGCAAACTTTTATCTACCGGGTGGAGCTCAGGATGTTTTTTATCCACAGCGAACAAAAATTCTATGAAATAGGAATTAGCAACACAACTTAATGAATTATTAGTCTCTTCCTTAGGTTTCATTTTGAGGATTTAACCTTCAGCGGCACAAGCATGTGTCACAGAAGGAACAGAGCATTTGTTTATTTTTTTTTTTGGTGAAGTTAGAAAACCTACTGGCTGCACTGATTTTTATTTGCCTGAAAGTTGGCCAACAATCAAGAATTCAGGATCTCCTAAATATAGAAAATCCCCAAAGCATCCTTGACCATGCTCCCATCTCAAAATAGATGATTATTGAAGCAGTCTTCAACGTAGTTTTCTTTGAAGACTGGCTAGTATTACCTTTTCTAAACAAATGAAGCAACAACATGCAGAAGCTGGATCTATTATGTAATCGTTATCCTCAAGGCACAAATAATATCCTTGCTAGATTAATGTCTTTCCTTATTCAAGGAAAAGATGAGAGGTGAAGAGTCACTTTAATATAATTATTGATTGCACTCTTCTCTTTCAAGATAATGCTATGAATTGAAACCTAGGGGGAGTGTCATATACATATATATATATTTAGAGTGACACAACTCAGATCCAGCCTGTGCACTTTGACAAAGAGCCAAACAGCTCTGAGCACCACCCTGGCCTACTGTAGAGAATGGGAGGGATGTTTGTAGGGCACACTCGGTATGGGCTAATAGGCATGATTCCATGACTAGAAGGAACACTATTTACACTAAGTACTTGCCACTACTACCTTAAGCAGTAATTTTACAATACGTCTGTACGCTTACATTGGTATCAATAGTAGTTCATGTAGAGAAGGGATGACAATGACATGAAAAGCTAAAGGCAGATGTAGTTTTCTTTTGTGTCTGCAATGCAGAAGAGATAGATGTCAACGCAGCTGAAGCTGCGGACAGTAGGAGTCTCAAACCATCTATGCATAGGTGTTTAAACCTGATGGTGCAGCATCAAATTTCTTTAGGTATTACTATCAGGAAAAGGAATTTCTAACAAGCATTGTCAAAAATATTTTAGGTGCGATTTAAGCAAGTCACACTTTGACTAAATTATTTTGGAGATTTGAAAAGTCTGTACCCTAGTACCTGGTAAGCTTGGCTTTAGCTAAATGACTTGATGGGTTTTAAAGGTGTGAAATGGCCCCCCCCCCCCCTTTTTTTTAAGATGGAACCACTAGCTGTGAAAGGGCAAATGTAGGCAACACAATACAATCCTTTTTAGGTCAACATCTTCACTTTATAATACACTCACATTTATACACAAATTTCATGTTTACAAGTACAAAAGGCAAAGAACCTCAAAGAACAGAAGCAACTGCATATTAACTACATTCAATAGAGTTAATACTGTTGTCTCCTCTTCATTTTCTAAATCAAGGAAATTGTAAATGCCGTTCCACACATGGACTTCACTTTTAGAAGTTGGAGACTGTGTGTGGTTCTGCACATGTTTGGGTTTCTACAGAGCTGAACTGAGATTCCATCGTGTTCCAGGCCAAATCAGCAAGAAGAAAGTCATCCATTGCTGTTTGAGTTTCATTGCTGGTGAAGAACAAGCTCCCCAGGGTTTCAAAGCCAGAATGCATGGTCTGTGTTTCTGTGCTATTTAACTGAACCTTGCTTTCTAGAGCAGAGATGTTTTTAGCAGCAGAGATCCCTTCAGTTTGGGTCTCGGTGTCAGATGAATCAGTACTCATGGAAAAGCTGGAGTGTTTCAGAATACTTCCCAGAGGCAGATGAGGGCTACTATCTAAAAAGAAGTTTAAATCTGTCTGTGTCTGTGTGTCAAACATTTCAAGGCCTAAGAAATTAGAATTTCCCCTATAACTGTACGGCTGGGCAGAGGTGTCTGCAAGTAGGAAGTCAGTTTGGGTCTCTATGTCCAGTGATTCTAAGACCGGCTCAGTGGTCATGCTGCTAAGCCCACTCTCTTCAGTTTGAGTTTGAATATTTGAGGCCGAAAAGAACTCTTCGATATCAAAATCAATTGCAGGATTCTGGGCTGGACCAGATGGGAGCTGGGTATCAGGTCCAGTGTTGGTGTCAGACAGAAGACTACGATTGTCCAGTGTCTGCCCAGGCAGATTACTGGATAAAATGTTTTCTAAATCACTTAATAAATCTATAGTTTGGGTCTGATTATCTGTCATGTTCTGTGAAGGAAGCATACTGTTCTGTGCACTGAAGTTTATAACTGGTGCAGTTTTCTCAATATCTTGACTTAAAGTCTTAGGGTGGTTCTGAGGTAACAAACCATGAGTAACAGTCTCTCCTACTAAGCTGCTGCTTATAATATTGTCTGTAGAAATACTGTATGATGAATGGACACTCTCAAAAATGTCTCCGCACATTACAGCTTGGTCCATTTGTACTCGGTCATCTGTTGGACTTCCCATTCCACTGGTTTGAGTTTCTCTGGAGATTCCACCTGCCTGGAAAGAAGCATCTAAAAACGCATCAGTCTGAGCAGCTATAGATGAAGTTGCCTTAGAACTGGGCAAAAATGTTTGGGTATGAACACTAATGGGAAGGGAAACTTGAGAACCAAAAGTCAAATCAGTTTGAGAACAAGACGATACAGAGGAATCAGGGCTGACCCACTGTGCAGAAGGTATAAAGTGTTGTGTGGCGTAAGACAAATCTGTCTGTACATTGATTGAAGAAATGCTGTTCTTTTGACATGCATTCCCTAGTTCTTGGGAAGGATTAGATGGATTTTTACTCAAGTTCACTTGAACACCTGTACTAATTGGCTCAACAGCAACAGGATTTATAATTTTTGAAAGAGGAAGGCTCTCCTTAAGAGAGCAGGCTTCTGAATCAAGGCCAAGAATCAGAGTTCCTACTGACAAGGGCAGTAAGTGCACAGCACCGGAGGCAGAGCCCTGATGATCAACACCTAACACCACAGGCTGGGCCGAGGAGTCAGCTGTAGGCACAAAGACAGGCATAGGAGAAAACTGCATAACAGGTAGTTTAACCAAAGCCACTTTGGGCTTTGGTAAAAGCAATTTCTGAGGATATTTTGGTGCTGTCGTAAGAGTCTGCTTTCTGGCATTAGAGCCACAAGAATCTTCAAAAGAAGCGACTAGCTTTATTTCTGAAGTTTCTAATTCTTGAGTGTCTGGTCTTGGGGTTGGTTGATTGCTCAAGGATTCAATGGTTTTATTGGACAACTTCTGGTTGTGCAGGCAGTTTTCCATTTTTCTTTTCTTACCAGGTGGATCTCTGAAAATGACAGTAAAAAGAGGTCAGAATCAATCCCATGAAGAGAAATTCCTTCTTTTACACCTCTTTGAGAACTGGGCCTGCTGTATGGCAGGCAGAAGTTCAGGAATATGCAAACAGGGAAGGAGAAAGAGGGGGGTGGGGGATACAGCTCTAAGTACTAGAACTCAACTTAGATTTGTAAGCATAAGGATGCTAACAGATTAAATAATGCAACTTTTATCATTTCTAAAGTAAGAAGCTTATACCCCAAATATAAATCTGGCTTTTAAGATGAAGTATAGCCATGGCTGGATGGCTCAGTTGGTTGGAGTGTCTTCCTGTATATGAAAAGGTTGCAGGGTTTGATTCCCAGTCAGGGCACATACTTAGGTAGTGGGTTCAATCCCCAGTCGGAGTGCATACAGGAGGCAACCAATTGATGTTTCTCTCTCCCCCTTCTCTCTGGAATCAATGAATAAATCCTTGAGTGAGGATAAAAAAAAAAAAAAGTAAATAAATAAAATGAAGTATAGTTTCATATTAAGGGACCCTCAAAAGAAGTTGGCAGAAAGAATAAGGAAGAACAACCGGATTAAGTAGACATGGATCCTTTATTAGTACTGCTACCTTTCTGCAAGTTCCCTTCTTCCATGTCTTACCTTTTCTCCATTATTCCTCCTTTCTTCCTACACTAAGAGCTTTCCAGGAAGTTTCATTTGAAACTCTTCCCACAGCTACTGACTTTTGGGCCACCATTTCTTCCCCTTTACCTGTGCTCTGCAGGAATCTCATGGCCAGTTCGGTAGATGTGGGACTGTAATGAAGTTCTACTTGCATAGGGACAGCCACATGTGCACTGGAAGGTCTTGCCACAATACTCTGCATGTCTTTTTAAGTCCCATTTAGTGCCGTATGAATTGCTGCACTTACTACATTTATGCTTCTTTTCAGCGTGCATTTTCATAAAGTGCTAGGAAGAACACAAAGGAACCAGAATGAAAAACTGCAACTGCTCAAAACATTTCAAAAACCATCAACATACCCAAGTTAACAATGATTTTACACGATAAAACATACCAGTCCAAATCAAAGAATGTAGAAGCAAGCAAATTGCACTTTATCATATGCCTCTTTCCCCTATCACTTCTACTTTGTGAAAAGTGTGAAGACAGTTTTAGAAATAATCCATAGTACCCAGCATTTAGGTTCTGATCTACAAATAACTGCTGTAGGAAGAATAAAAAGTTTTTGCAATACTTTTTATAGGACCTCCTCCAGCAAACCCTCTGGGAAGTATTTCAGCTGTCTATTTCTTGCAGTCCTGAATCACCTCCTTTCCCAGTTGCTGGGCCCCCTCCTGCCCTTAAGGTAGCTGTTTCTGAAATTCTGCCTTATCTTACTCCTTTGGGAGAACATTTCCTTTGTGCCTTTGCTTGTCTAACCTTGAAGGCACAGATTCACATAAGAGATACGAAGTACACGTGTTCTCATTCTTTGAATTAGCCATCTTCTCTTTCTCTCTGAATCCACTTCTGGACATCTTTCCCTCCAGAGCAAGGCACGTCTCCTTCACTTGCATTATACCTTACTCACCTTTTCCAATTGGAAGACTTTTGGGTAGATATCCTCACACAACTTTCTGCTCAATTCTCGTTATGTTTGATAAGTAATTAGAATGCACACTAGGTTTATACCATTTGCATTTCATCCTCAGAGAAGTATACTTAAGTAAAATACCTGTTTTACGAGAGAAAATTGAGAAAATGGCCTGTAAGGACCTCTAGGACATCCTTCAATTGGACAACAGTAGAATTTTGGTTCAGTTTTCAAATCTTTTCTTATTGTTGGATTTACTATGCCATCCTGAAAAAGAAAAATTACTTTAAACAATTATTTTCAAAAAATCAATACAACAGACTGGGAGTAAAAACAAGGAATGACTAAAGATGGGAACAAGGGATCTTATTTGGGAGATGAAAATATTCTAAAACTGAATTGTGGTGATGGTTGCACAATGCTAAAATAAGTGAATTATTCACTTAAAGTAGGTAAACTTTATGATGTATAAACGATAGCTCAAACCATGTTGTTTCAAATTCGATCTATTCCTTTAAACTATCCATTCTAAACCTACAATATCTTCCCTTTGTGGATGAAAAAGGGCTTCTGTAACAAATCTAACAAAGTAATTTCCCATGGTGATCTGATTATAAATTCCTAACTGGGCCGGTCATGGTGGATAGTCATGCCTCAGGTCTATAACTTCCCTAGTAGAAGTTTATCTTTGCAAGCCCTGTGCATTGTTTTTGTGCATCTAGGTTAACATCCCTGTGAAATGCTACTTTTTCATCCCTCAGATCCAATCATAAATATTTCCCTGCCTTACATTCTCCCACTTGCATGTAATCTTCTTTACTTCCCTCCTAATTCCAAGTGTATAAAAGAAACTGCAAACTGTCATTCTGGAAAACATTTTCCTCAGTCTGTTGAGATTTTGCTTCTAGGCATGTCTTCTGTTTGGGGCACATAAACTCTTAAAAACTCATAAAAATTTTCTACAGGTTCTTCAAGTCAACAACTTGAAGCAATCTTCTCTATTTGCAAAGTGGTATATTTACAGTTTATAAGGCTCAAGATTTCTATATCATCCTTAAGTCTTCCTTTCCCTTTTATCTCATGCCCAGCGTCTTAGTATGAACTCCTGAAAAAGCCTCCCTTGACTATGATGGTGGCCTTCCTGATAAAAAGCACTGTGACTTTCTCCAATTATCACACTGCCGCTAAAGTAGCTAAAGCTAGTTGACACAACTTTTATATAGCATGCTATGTTTGAAATTTAGTAATTATTATAAATGCCAGTACTAACAAAACTTTTACTAGTGTTAGACACTGTTCTAAGCACTTTATATATATTAACTTGTACATAATCTTAATAATCTCTTATTATTAAATGTGATTAACTTTTGGGCTAGGAGTTTTCAAAGTCAAACCTCAGTTCTCGAATGTCTCCCATCTTGAACAATTCGGTTCTTGACCAAATTTTCATGAAAAAATGTCTCGATTGTCAAACAAAACTTCGGTTCTCGACAACCCTTTCATGTTGATACCTGAATCATCAGTCATGGGTCTCTCAGGCGACAAAGGAGAGAATGTGCGAGTATGAGACAGTTTACTGCTAAACCTCAAGTTGTTAACATCTCAGGAAATTTTGATGTGAATATTTTCTAATGGGAAAAAAATGATGAGAGAATCATTGATTGACTGCCTCCTGCACGCCCCTACTGGGGATCAAACCCACAACCCGGGCATGTGTCCTGAACAGGAATCGAACCAGTGACCTTTTGGTTCCTGGGTCAACCACTGAACCACACCAACCAGGTCGCTAAGCCATGTTTTAAAAATACAAATGTTGCTAGATAAAAGGTTCTTTAAGGGTCCTCCTGTCCTTTTCACTGCTTTCAAACACAATGAATAAAAGAATTTCTAACAAACAAGAAACGCCCACTTACTCCTACTACTCCTTTCCCTGAATCACCAGCTTTCATTTCTATTGGATCGCCCCCTGGGCAAGACTGAAGTAGGATATTTCCGTATTTTCTTATAGGATATGAAATATAGACATATATTTTAAGAACCCACATAAAACAAAAATGCAGCATGTACCCTTTACCTTACAATCCCACTCTTATCCATCATCTTTCAGAAGGGTTTGTTAATCATTTATGTTAAGGAATATTTGGTTAGGGGCAGGGTATCCTATGAAGAAAGATTAGAATAGAATTGGAACCATATAGCAACTAACAGGGAAAGGAATAAAAATTATCATAATTTGAAAAAATAAAAATTAGGAGAGGAACTAGAAATATGCAAGTAGCTGTAACCAAGAGAATGAAGGGGAAAATTTCCACTGAATGTTATGCAAATGTGCCAACCAAATATATACTCAAGATTAACTTCAGAACAGAAACTGGCTGGTAGTGGAGTCTGTCTAAACACAGACTGCTTTTAAAACCATGGGGAACTACCAGTCAGCCCTTATCAGGCCTCCTCCTTCCAATACTTTGAGAACAATCAAGTGTCAAAAGTAATGTTTGAATTCAAGAGCCTCTATTCCAGATCCTGACTAAGAATACAGACTTGCCAAACTGAGGCATTACCATCTGGATATGGTTATTCTGTCACATAGGTCACTTTCATTAAAGAAAGTGGACCTCCTCCCCTTCCACCAAGACATGAGATGCTCAGAGGCTGCTGTGTACCATGGTTAGAAAGGCAGGAAAGGGAGGTTCAGGAAAGTGAGCCCGTTTGACAAGAAAAAAAACCAATGATGGTTCTCGGCGAGGTTTCTTTAATTCCTACTGAAACAGGTCTCCCTAGTGACTTTGGAAGGAAACTCAGAAAAGCCCATTTTCATTGTTCAACATTTTTAGTTTAGAAAGGGATCTTGAATGCCGCCTTCAGAAAAACCTGAAAAATGAATCTGACTAGAACTGAAGAATGACATTACACATGTTCTAAGCGGGGATACGCATACTCTGAAAGGCTGAAGTCCCAGTAAAGATCTGTCAAAGTTTCTATTTTCCTTACACATATTCCTCCTCCTCAGGCCTATTATATTTTCTGTATTGGTATCTTCAGAATTCTGAACTTTACATATTTTAAAAACATAATTAGGAATAAACCTACTGTATACATACTATCAAAATCCTGGAGAGTAAGTGCTATCCTCATGCTAAACAGATGCTTCATAAAGTCTTGAGAGATGTAGAGCTCCAGACAGCAATTCCAAAGAAAAGAACAATATAAAGTGTTAAGACGTGCTTCCTACAGTGATGTTCAGCCCACACAAGGACGGTCCTCATTAGACTGGCAGCTTCATTTGTGCTCAGAGATGTAATGTCTGCCTTAGCTATGGGATGAAGGTGGGTGATGGCGACTGCATATGAGCTAAAGAGAACCAAGGGATTAGGCTGCAGAATTCCTACAAATGTATACTCATCCACTCAAGTTAAAATATGGTTAAGGAAAATAAATACGGTTAAGAAAAGGAAGGATTTAGTTAAAAGTTAGCAGGAAAGAGAAGCCCATTCCCAGAGTTACTTCACCTGTGTTCTGGAGGAAACCCCAAACTCCTCTGCAGGGTCTCCCTCAGCACCCCTCCATGTACATTTCCTGTGTGGGGCTCCTAGTCCTCCTAAGGGAAGGCAGTTGCATTTCTGTTCACTTGGTGCCTATTAACAGATCACTCTTCATGGGCAACACATCTGCCATCGCTATTAGACTTTCTGCTGTTAAATTCTTATCAGAAGCCCGATTCTAAGGACGTCTCCACGGAGAAGCATGCAACATGCCAGGTAATTTAAGCTTTCTCCTTAACCAATTCAGACCGTCAGAAGCTACATACTCACAAGACGGCTTTCAGTGACTTAGGGTTTCACATTATGTCACTGTTGGCCAAGAAGGGCTCTAAGTGGTGGAAGGAAACCTCCGATGATAATGACTGGGAAATTATGATTTAATAGGTCTGGGTGGGACTGAACATCTGGATCTTTAACAAGCCTTCCACAGATGTGCATTAAAGGCTGAAAATCACCGCCCTATTTTATATAAGGGGGAAGGGATGTTCAGACTATTATTACACCGCGCTCACGGGAGAAATTTCCCTTAGGTCTCATTTCTGCGCTGATTTTACCGACATAGAAACTTGTCACTGCCAGGTCTGCAGCCAGCTCCCTCTGCCCACGGGGCAGGACCCGGCCAGGTCTGCAGCCAGCTCCCTCTGCCCACGGGGCAGGACCCGGGCCAGGTCTGCAGCCAGCTCCCTCCTGCCCACGGGGCAGGACCCGGCCAGGTCTGCAGCCAGCTCCCTCTGCCCACGGGGCAGGACCCGGCCAGGTCTGCAGCCAGCTCCCTCTGCCCACGGGGCAGGACCCGGCCAGGTCTGCAGCCAGCTCTCTCTACCCACGGGGCAGGACCAAGGCCCGACGGAGGAACTGTGGGCGTGGTGGAAAGCACACGGGCTTCAGAACCAGAGAGCAGGTTTAAATCCCAGCGCTCCTCAGCCCCGTAACCTGTTTCTCATCAATGCAATGAGGACGGTAGGTCCGTACCTCACGAAGTTGCGGGGAGAACTACCGAGATCCACGCCCGGGCCGCGAAGTTAGAGGCCGGTAGTCCCGGCTGGTCCGAGCGGCATGACACAGTGTTTTCCTATGATTACGCGTTCCCGCTGCCTCGCTCCCTCCTTCCCCGGCCGGGACGCCCTCCCGGGTTTGGCCCGTTTTATGTACTCGGAAGCCCCCTCTGATGCAGGCCGGCGGAGGCTGGGCTCACGGCGCATCCAGACCCCGACCCCGGGCCGCGCCGCGCCGGGACCAGGACCCGCGCCCACGCCCCCGAGCGGGGCGCTTTGTCGGCGCCAGGCCTGAGGAGGCGCCGTCGGCGGCGGGCTCACCTGCAGGCGGTGGCTCTTGACCAGGTGCATGTTGAGCGCGGGGCTGTTGGGCAGGATCTTGCCGCACCCGCGCACAGTGCACAGGATGTTGGTCCGCACGGCCCGGGACAGCTCGCTCACCGACGGCTGGATCAGCTCCCCGGCCGCGGCGCCGGACCCGCGGGCTGCTGCTCGCGGCCGCGGGCCGAGGCGGGTGCCCCTCAGCCTCCGGGGGTCCCCACAAAGCCCGAGGCGGCGGCGGCACCCCTCGCGGCCGACGGGACGGCCGGGGAGCCCGAGGCCAGGGCCCGCGGGTCCCGCCGCCGCCGCCTCAGAGGCCGCCATGGCTCCCGCACAGCAGTCGGGTCCAGCTCGCAGCCCCCGCCTCTTAACCCTGCACTTCCGGCAGGGGGCGGGGCCTCCAGGCTCATTAGCATCCGGTCAGGTTGGGCTGGACGCGGCGCCCCCTGCAGGTACTGAAGTGTACGTCAGCGGGGAGCTGCTGCCAGGTGAGGCGGGAGGGTTGCAAAACTTCACTGGGATTCCTATGAACAGGTAGAAGATGTTGGTTGTGCTTCCAAGAAACTTGACATCAGGCAATAATTGGAGAAGAAAAAGTGATGCGTTCAGAAGTTTTACTTCCCAAAGATTAGAAAAAACTCCAATGTTCAACAGCAGCACAGGCAACATTATGTTAATTACAGCTGTGTTTTATTTAGTTTACCATGTGCCAGACACTGGACAATGCATTTGTCATTTAGTGTCTTGTTATGTCCTCAAAACAGCCATACGGGCAAGTACTATAAGTTTTCCTCCGTTTTTCAGAGAAGTAACTAATTAATCCTAGGTCACATTATACAAACGAAAGGATTGTTATAATTGACAGAGTTAATCATTTTAGGGAGGCTGGATTTACTTGCTTGTATTTTATTTTTATTTTTTTAAATATATTTTATTGATTTTTTACAGAGAGGAAGGGAGAGAGATAGAGAGTTAGAAACATCGATGAGAGAGAGACATCGATCAGCTGCCTCCTGCACATCTCCTACTGGGGATGTGCCCGCAACCCAGGTACATGCCCTCGACCGGAATCGAACCTGGGACCTTTCAGTCCGCAGGCCGACGCTCTATCCACTGAGCCAAACCGGTTCCGGCTTGCTTGTATTTTAAAGGATAAGATTTGATTACTATATGGGAGACAGTATAGCTCAGGGCAGGGTTCTAAAACCCAAGTACCTAGAGGGACTAGGTAGGTCATGTTGATGAGAATAGGTCAGGTATAGACAAAAGGAAGGGGTAAGGACTGCAGTGAAATGAGAAATAAATCTTTTTTATTGCTTAAAGTATTACAAAGGGTATTACATATGTCTCCTTTTTTCCCCCCACCCTTGACAATCCCCTAGCCTCCCCTACCCCCAGGTGTCTTATGTCCATTGGTTATGCTTATATGCATGCATATAAGTCCTTCAGTTGATCTCTAAACCCCCCCCCCCCTTCTGCCCCCCTACCCTCCCCGGCCTTCCCGCTGCAGTTTGACAGTCTGTTTGAGGCAGCTCTGCCTCTGTATCTATTTTTGTTCATAAATTTATAATGATCTTTATTATCCATGAATGAGTGAGATCATGTGGTATTTTTCCTTCATTGGTTGGCTTATTTCACTTAGCATAATGCTCTCCAGTTCCATCCATGCCGTTGCAAATGGTAAGAGTTCCTTCTTTTTTACAGCAGCATAGTATTCCATCGTGTAGATGTACCACAGTTTTCTAATCCATTCATCTACTGATGGGCACTTAGGCTGTTTCCAGATCTTAGCTATGGTGAATTGTGCTGCTATGAACATATGGGTGCATATATCCTTTCTGATTGGTGTTTCTGGTTTCTTGGGATATATACCTAGAAGTGGGATCACAGGGTCAAATGGGAGTTCCATTTTTAGTTTTTTGAGGAAGCTCCATACTGTCTTCCATAGTGGCTGCACCAGTCTGCATTCCCACCAGCAGTGCACGAGTGTTCCTTTTTCTCCACATCCTCTCCAGCACTTGTCGTTTGTTGATGATAGCCATTCTGACAGGTGTGCGATGGTACCTCATTGTTGTTTTGATTTGCATCTCTCGGATGATTAGTGACTTTGAGCATGTTTTCATGTCTCTTGGCTTTCTGAATGTCCTCTTTTGAAAGGTGTCTATTTAGATCCTTTGCCCATTTTTTGATTGGATTGTTTATCTTCCTTTTGTTAAGTTGTATGAGTTCCCTATAAATTTTGGAGATTAGGCCCTTATCAGATATGACATTGGCAAATATGTTTTCCCACACAGTGGGCTTTCTTGTTTTGTTAATGGTTTCTTTTGCTGTGCAGAAGCTTTTTATTTTGATGTAGTCCCATTTGTTTATTTTCTCTTTAGTTTCCAGTGCCCTAGGAGCTGTTTTGGTGAAGAAATTGCTTCGGCATATGTCTGAGATTTTGTTGCCTTTGGATTCTTCTAGTATTTTCATGGTTTCCCGTCGTACATTTAAGTCCTATATCCATTTTGAGTTTATTTTTGTGAATGGTGTAAGTTGGTGGTCTAGTTGCATTTTCTTGCATGTATCCGTCCAATTTTCCCAACACCATTTATTGAAGAGACTATCTTGACTCCATTGTATGTTCTTGCCTCCTTTGTCAAATATTAATTGAGCATATTGGTTCGGGCTGATTTCTGGGCTCTCTATTCTATTCCATTGATCTATATGTCTGTTCTTGTGCCAGTACCAGGCAGTTTTGAGAACAGTGGCTTTGTAATACAGCTTGATATCTGGTATTGTGATCCCACCTGCTTTGTTCTTTCTCAGGATCGCTGCAGCTATTCGGGGTCGTTTTTTATTCCAGATTAATTTTTGGAGAGTTCGTTCTAGGCCTGTGAAATATGCCATTGGTATTTTAATGGGAAGTGCATTGAATTTATAGATTGCTTTGGGTAGTATGGACATTTTAATGATGCTGATTCTACCAATCCATGAACACAGTATGTTCTTCCATCTGTTTATGTCTTCCTCTATCTCTTTTTTCAATGTCCTGTAGTTTTCTGAGTAGGGGTCTTTTACCTCTTTAGTTAAGTTTATTCCTAGGTAGCTTAATTTTTTTGGTGCGATGGTAAATGGGATTGTTTTTTTAGTCTCACTTTCTGAAAGTTCACTATTGGTGTATAGAAATGCCATAGATTTCTTGGGGTTAATTTTGTATCCTGCTACATTGCCAAATTCATGTATTAAGTCTAGTAGTTTTTTGATGGAGTCTTTAGGGTTTTGTATGTATAATATCATGTCATCTGCAAATAAGGACAGTTTTACTTCCTCTTTTCCAATTTGGATGCCTTTTATTTCTTCTTCTTGTCTAATTGCAATGGCTAGTACTTCCAGTACTATGTTGAACAGAAGTGGTGAGAGTGGGCATCCCTGTCTTGTTCCTGTTCTTAGGGGAAATGGTGTTAGTTTTGTCCATTGAGTATGATGTTGGCTGTGGGCTTGTCATATATGGCTTTTATTATGTTGAGGTATGATCCTTCTACTCCCACCTTTCTGAGAGTTTTTATCAAAAATGGGTGTTGGATTTTGTCAAATGCTTTTTCTGTATCAATTGATATGACTATGTGGTTTTTTTCTTTCAATTTGTTTATGTGATGTATCACGTTTATTGATTTTCGGATATTGTACTATCCTTGCATCCCAGGGATAAATCCTACTTGGTCATGGTGTATGATCTTTCTGATGTACTGCTGGATCCGATTTGCTAAGATTTTGTTGAGGACTTTGGCATCTATGTTCATGAGGGATATTGGCCTGTAATTCTCTTTGTGTAGTCTTTACCTGGTTTTGGTATTAGGGTGATGCTGGCTTCATAGAATGAGCTTGGAAGTGTTCCTTCCTCTTGAATTTTTTGTAGTAGTCTGAGGAGGATAGGTTTTAGTTCTTCCTTGAATGTTTGGTAAAACTCCCCTGTGAAGCCGTCTGGTCCTGGGCTTTTGTTTGCTGGAAGCCTTTTGATGACTGCTTCAATTTCTTCCATAGTTATTGGCCTGTTGAGATTTTTAGATTCTTCCTGATTGAGTTTTGGAATGTTGTATATTTCTAGGAATTTGTCCATTTCCTCCAGGTTGTCTAGTTTGTTGGAGTAGAGTTGTCCATAGTATTTTTTAACAATCATTTGTATTTCTGTGGGGTCTGTTGTTATTTCGCCTCTATCATTTCTGATTTTCTTTATTTGGGTCCTCTCTCTTTGCTTCTTGGTGAGCCTGGCTAGAGGTTTGTCAATCTTGTTTATCCTTTCAAAGAACCAGCTCTTGGTTTCATTGATTTTCTGTATTGTTTTTTTGATCTCTCTGTCATTTATTTCTGCTCTAATCTTTATTATCTCTTTCCTCCTGCTCACTCTGGGGTTTTCTTGTTGCTCTCTTTCTAATTCTTTGAGTTGTAGAGTTAGATTATTTACTACCATTTTTTCTTGTTTTTTGAGATAGGCATGTAGAGCTATAAACTTCCCTCTCAGAACTGCTTTCATTGCATCCCATAGGTTTTGGATTGTTGTGTTTTCATTGTCATTAGTTTCCAGGATGTTTTAAATTTCTTCTTTGATCTCATTGGTAACCCAATCAATATTTAATAACATGCTATTCAGCTTCCAAGTGTTTTGAGTATTTTGGGTTGTTTTTATTGTAGTTTATTTCTAATATTATGCCCTTGTGGTCTGAGAAGATGCTTGGTATGATTTCAGTCTTCTTGAATTTGGGGAGACTTTGTTTGTGACCCAATATGTGGTCTATTTTTGAATGTGTCTTATGAGCACTTGAGTAGAATGTATATTCCGTGGCTTTGGGGTGAAGCGTTCTGAAGATGTCAATTAAGTCCATCTCATCTAGTGAGTCATTTAGGATTGCTGTTTCTTTGCTGATTGTTTGTCTAGAGGATTTATCCAGTGATGTCAGTGGTGTATTAAAGTCCCCTACTATGATTGTATTGTTGTTGATCTCTCCTTTGATATCTTCCAGGAGTTCTTTTATGTATTTGGGTGCTCCTGCATTGGGTGCATATATGTTTATCAGGGTTATATCTTCTTGTTGTATTGATCCCTTTAGTATTATGAAGTGGCCTTCCTTATCTCTTGTTATGGCCTTCACTTTGAGGTCTATTTTGTCCGATATAAGTATTGCTACCCCAGCTTTCTTTTCATTTCCATTTGCCTGAAAGATATTTTTCCATCCCTTCACTTTCAGTCTGTGTGAGTCCCTTCTTCTGAGGTGGGTCTCTTGTAGACAGCAAATGTATGGGTCATGTTTTTTTATCCATTCAGCCACTCGATGTCTTTTGGTTGGAGCATTTAGTCCGTTTACGTTTAAAGTTATTATTGAAAGGTACTTGTTTGTAGCCATTTCTTTTTTTGTGTGTGTGGCTGTTTTCTTTCTGAGCTTTTTATTTCTTCTTTTTACACCAGTCCCTTTAGCATTTCTTGCATGGCTGGCTTGGTGGTGATAAACTCCCTTAGCCTTTTTTTGTCTGTGAAGTTTCTTATTCCCCTTCAATTTTGAATGATAGCCTTGCTGGATAGAGTATTCTTGGATTCAGTCCTTTGCTTTGCATCACTTTGTAAATTTCCGTCCAT